TTCCCGCGGGCCTCAAGCGCCGTCCCGTCTGCGTTTCCCGCCGCCGGAGTAAGTCGTAACTCGGACCCGCGACTAGGCGACATGCTGCAGCAGCTGATGCAGCGAATGGAAAAACTGGAGACGAGCCTCTCTACAGAGCAGCCACAACGCCGCCGAATGTCCCAGGAACCCCGAGGAGACACCGATCGACGTTTCCGGCAACGACGCAAAGGGCCCTGCCATCGCTGCGGAGAAGTCGGCCACATCGCTCGCAACTGTCCCGCACCTCAGCCCCGTACTCGCCGTCAGAGAAACTGACAACCCCTAACGCTGAGGGCCGAGCGTTTGGGGGTGATTCAAGGGCCATAAATGCGCACAACGTTTTCTCTCTGCACGACCCTCTTACCACGTCCAAGGAACAGCACTGAACACCGCCGCATTATTTATGGTAGACACGGGAGCAGCCGTCAGCCTCCTTCGAAAGGATATCTGGGATCTCACCACGTCCACCAATCCACCTGACCTGCAGCCCTGGCCTGGCCAGTCGCTAGTAACCGTAGACGGATCCCCGCTAACGGTGTACGGCCGAGCTACCATCCCAGTCAAGTTTGGGAGCCATAAAGTGGACGTCACATTCGCGATAGCGGAGGGACTCACCGCAGAGGCGATACTCGGTTTAGACTTCCTCAACCAGTGCACACTGGACCTGAAGAATCGTACCTTAACGCTAGCCGACTCAACCACGCTACCCCTCACTTCCGAAGAATCCCCTTCCACTGGACAACTTGCTGTTTCGGTGACCAAGACCCTCCACATCCCTGCCGCCAGTGAGTTGGAAGTTATTGCACATGTAACTGGGGCCACTTCAGCAGGCACGTATCTCCTAGAGCAAATCCCCAACAAACGCCTTCCAGTGATGGTGGCTCGAGCATTAGTAACCCCATCTCCCTCAGAGGTTCTTGTTCGGCTAATAAACCCTGCTTCCGAAGTAGTAACACTGTTTAAGGGGACCCACATTGCCACCATCGAGGCGGTTGACCATAAACAGGTATGTCAGGTAGACAGCCCTGGTCAGGATGCAAGCCCCTGTCCATCCTCTTCGAAATACTCGTTGCTGTCCAAATTGGCATATCAACAAAACATCACCCCTAAACAAAGCGATCAACTGCTTGGCCTCTTACTCAACTACTCCGACATATTTGCAGAAAATCCGGATGACACAGGACGGACGACTGCAGCTAGCTAAACATACCATCGAGACCGGCGGGAGTGCCCCTATCCGACAAAGGCCGCGAATGATTCCAGCAGCCTACCGACAAGAAGCCGGCCGACTAGTGAGCGAAATGCTGGGGAAGGGCACGATTCGACAATCGCAAAGCCCGTGGGCATCACCAATTGTACTCGTTAAGAAAAAGAACGGGTCGTTGCGTTTCTGTGTCGACTACAGAAAGCTAAACAGTGTAACCAGAAAAGATGCCTACCCGCTACCTCGAGTAGACGAGACGCTGGACACCTTGGCCAATGCTCAATGGTTCACAACTCTAGATTTAATCAGCGGGTACTGGCAAGTGGAAGTCGAAGACAGGGATCGCGAGAAGACCGCCTTCTGCACACCAGATGGGTTGTTTGAATTTAACGTCATGCCGTTTGGACTATGCAACGCCCAAGCCACTTTCCAGAGATTAATGGACTCCACCCTTGCTGGTTTACCTTGGACCACCTGTCTGGTGTACCTAGATGACATCATTATCCTTGGCAGTACATTGCGGCCCATCTCAAGAATATTGCCCTCGTTTTTGACGCCTCCGACAGGCAGGCCTCAAACTGCAGCCGGCCAAGTGTGCCCTGTGCCAGGAATCAGTAACATTCCTGGGGCACATCGTCTCAAGGGATGGCATTGCTACAGACCCCCGCCAAACGGATAAAGTGGCTACCTGGCCTACACCACCTGCCAGCGGGATGTGCAGCGATTCCTCGGGCCTGGCCAACTATTACAGGCGATTTGTAAACACTTGCTACCATAGCAAAGCCTCTGCATCGACTTACAGAAAAAATGTTTCATTTGAGTGGAGCCGAGAAGCTGCGGAGGCCTTTGCCCAACTAGCAGAGGTAAACATCCCCACCCGTCTTGGCCCACCCCTGACTTTTCTCTCCTCCCTTTCATCCTGCACACGGATGCAAGCTCATCAGGTTGGGTGCCGTACTCTCCCCAGAAACACGCAGATGGAAGGACATGTGGTGGCCTACGCAAGTAGACCATGTCTAAGTCAGAACGCCGTTACTGTGCTACTCGCCGGGAGCTGCTGGCTGTCGTAGTCTTCACGACACAGTTTCGTCCCTACCTCTTAGGACGCCACTTCACAATACACACAGACCATGGATCCCTCACCTGGCTCCACAACTTCAAAGACCCAGACGGGCAGCTGGCTAGATGGATCACCTCCCTTCAAGCGTTTGATTTTACGATTGAGCATCGACGGGGCATATATCACAGCAATGCGGATGCTCTGTCGCGCCTACCAGGGGAACCAACTGCCCTGTACGACTGTGGGTGACAACACTCGTAATGGGGAGTCTGCTAGCATCTCAGCCACTAGCCTGAGGGGTACCTGCATATCACGAGATGCCCAGCTACAGGATGCTAACGTTGAACCAATCTTCTCTGCGGTCGAGAAGAAATAAAGGTCAAAGAATCGGAACTCAAAAGCCTAAGTCGTGAGAGTCGTCAACTGAATGACCAGTGGGACTTACTGACGGTGAAACACGGCAAACTGTGGAGACGGGCTACCCCCCATGACGGCCACCCCGCCACGCTCCAACTCATTGTACCGGGAGCTTACCGTTCCGATGTCCTCGCTGAACTACACGACAGTCCTACTGGGGGGCACCTGGGGGTGGAAAAGAAGCTCAGCCGTCTGAAACAAAGGTACTATTGGCCTGGGTTTTCAGCTGATGCTAAACTATGGTGCTCAACTTGCAAAACCTGTGCTGCTCGGATTACAGCTTCCCCGCATCAGAGAGCTCCTCTTGGCACTATCAGAGCTGGGGAACCAATGCAGATAGTTGCTGTAGACATCCTTGGCCCACTTCCCAACTGTCCTGCTGGAAATCGCTATGTGCTTGTTGCCATGGATTATTTCACGAAATGGGCAGAGGCCTATGCGATTCCCAACCAGGAAGCTACTACTGTTGCCAATAAACTAGTCAACGAGATGTTTCTCCGGTTTTCACCCCCGGAGCAACTGCACAGTGACCAAGGTCGACAATTTGAATCTACATTGGTCAAGGAAATTGCAAATGCCTTGGCATCAAGAAAACACGAACCACCCCCTACCATCCACAGTGCGACGGCCTCGTAGAGCGGTTCAACCGCACCCTCCTCAATATGTTGGCAACTACAATAAATGACCACCCTGCCTCCTGGGAGGAGCATCTTCAAAAGGTTATCATGGCCTACAACACAAGTGTTCAGGCAACAACTGGATACTCTCCGTTCTTCCTCATGTTCGGGCGAGAGGCTCGCCTCCCTGTGGATTTAATGTATGGTTCAACTCCGAGCAGCACTACTATAGTCACCGAGTATGCAGCCCAGCTGTCAGCCACCCTTCGGAATGCTTATGCATGCGCAAGAGACAATTCCCTAACGGAGCACTGCCGGCAGAAAAGTTATTACGACAGTCAACTCTTCGGTGCACCGTACGAGGCAGGCGATTTGGTTTGGGTCCACAACTCTGCAACACCAAAAGGAACATCACGGAAGCTGCACTGTCCATGGAGTGGCCCCTTCGAGATTATCGAACCGCTTTCGGACGTCACTTATCGTGTAAAGAAGTCAGATGGAATTGGGGCCCCAAGCACAATCCACTTCAACCGACTAAAGCCGTATCGGGGAGAGCCCTCACCTCTACCCTGCTCCCCTCTACCCAACTCACCTCTGCCTGACTCACAGCCTCAAGCTTCACTGCCATCATCACCAACATTCGGACGCCATTTGACCCTACAAATAATGGATGCAGTAACACCAGAAGTGGATGAAAATTCGGGACAAGCAGCCACAGGACAACAGGAGTCAGCGGCCACTCTACCTCTACAGCCGATGATGACACGCTCGGTCAAGAAGGAGGAAGCCAGCAGCAAGCAACCCACCGCTATCCCCTGAGGACTCGACGACCACCTGACAGACTAATCGACCATGTCCACCTCTGACATAGTCCGGGACGAACTCTCAAGAAAATGGGATGCTATGTAACAGCGGGAGCCATCTAGTCCGGAAAACTTACATGTATATCTCTGTCACCTTGTCGTCTTCTCCACAATGGACAAACAGTCATGTCAGTCATGTATATACTCACCTATAAAATGCCTAGGCTAGCCCTTAGAAATTGCCCATGATCTTATTGCACCAGACTGCTCTATCGCCCAGCGCCGGTCCGAAGCTGCGTTCTACATTAGTGCAAAAATTAAAACGCAATTTTATTGCTGATACCAGCTTTTTTAGCCTTTAGCCGTGAAATTCACCCTTCAAGTTTTTGGAGGGTCAATTTCTCCTTTCAGCTTCAAAAAAATAAGAGGGTGAACTTCACCCATCAAAGTTTACAAGGGTAAACTTCACCCATCAAAAATATGCAAGGGTGAACTTCACCCTTCAAAAGTTGCAAGAAGGAAACAGCTTACACTGTTTGAAGGAGACGGGAGCATTGAAGTGCATACTGAAATTATGCAAGCCTCCCCACAACTGCATGAAGGTGGTTGATATGAGCTAATGCGAATCTCCGAATCAGGTCAAAGGGTGTTACAAGTTATTCCATCTCGATCCGATGGTTACTCGGTGACATGCTTAAAGCAAGTACTGTACCAGGCAAAGGTTTATATCCGACCTGTGCAAAAGAGTTTATCTTTGGTTCCATGTGATGTTACTGCAAATGTAAGTATTATGTACATTTCTGATTTACTGCGAGTTATATACGTGTTTGGTGCTGGTCATAATTATATTCATGTGCCGCTGTGCATACTTTCACTTTAGGATTGCCCAAGAGTCAAATGTGCTGAGTGTGGGATGGAGGTTGCTTTCCCGAAAGTACGAGAACATATTCAGACCTGCAAGAAGTATGGTGCTCATCTGCCTCCCACTCCTCACACTATATTTCAGATAGCTACCCTGAGCCCTCTAAAATCTTCCCTGTGTGCCCTCTAGGCGCTCTCAGCCATTCCTGTATAGCTTGTTATATTCATCTGTTTGCAGGGGTCAGTACCCTAGTGATGGAGACTATGCTGATGACGAGTTTGTACCTTAACCTGTGGATGATGTGGTATGCATTCCTGTGTGTATAGGCAGTGTTATTAAACCTCCGGCACAGATAGTTACTGCGTAGTTTGCTATTATTGTGCACGGACACTCATGCCTAATACTTTATTGTTACTCAGGATGAACCAGATTATCCGGTTTCGGCAGTACTAAAATCAAGGCAGAGGAGCCAAACAACCCTGTTATTGATCTCACTGGTGTTGAGCAGGCCCTTGTTGAAGTTTGAAAGTTCGAAGATGTCATTGACACCAACCACACTGTGGTGGATCAGGCTCCTTGTAAACACGTAACACGTAGCAGATGTGTGACCATTCTCATTGTGCTAATGGTGTCAGTCAGTCAATGTATCCCTGTACAATTAACTATTGTAGTCACTGTTATCGTGTATGGTCATGTAGTTCTTGTCTACTGGTCACGCACCCTAGGCTGTATAAAAGCTCCATCTGTCATTCTGTAAGGGCCGGTCTTCATCATTATAAGTCTATGACCATACTCTTCGGGAACCTGCGACGCGCAAGCAACTTGGGCTCGGATCTCTGACAAGTGGTGGCAGTGGTGGGATCCTCGCAGAAAGGTACATAGGCGCTCTGGAGTCCAATCTTCAAGGGGTTCCCTTTTGGGAGATTATCACTGTATAACTTGACCTTCCCCCACGGGGGTCCGACGGAGAGACAGAAGACACACCGTATGACCACGCGGTCGGGCACGCGTTACAAGATGGCAGAACAAGGACACCAGGTGGAACCCGGAGGCAAAATGGCCTCGAAAAGGACAGCAAGCCAGAAGACGGCGGGACTGGGAGACGAGCGGGCCAGTGGCGAAGGCGGAGAGACGCTACAGCCGATGGAGCAGTTCATGACCCAGATGTTCCGATTCGTGTCGGAGATGACCGAGAAACAGCAGCGGGCGGCTTCCGAGGAACGAGCCGTGGAGCGCTCAAGACAGGAAGAGGAGAGAAAGCGGTTGGCAGAACTGAACGCAACGAACATGCAGACGATGATGGAGCAGCTACGAGAGGTGATGATGTTACCGCCGCGATTCGACGAGAGGAGAGACAGCGGACGACGCGCCCCTGGAACAGCAGTGGAGCCGAAGATCGCGAGACTCAGCGACGCAGACGATATCGAAGCTTACCTGACTACCTTCGAGCGTCTGATGACGGTGGACAGCGTGGACAGAGCTACGTGGGCCGTACGACTGGCGTCACATCTAACTGGAAAAGCTCAACAGGCGTTCGCCGTGATGCGAGAGACAGAGGCGACGGATTATGACAAAGTGAAGGAAGCTATATTGTGACGCTACAACGTCAGCCAGGAGACCTATCGCCAACGTTTTCGATCCGTCCGACGGAAAGAGGAGGAATCCTATGCGGAGTTGGTGGTCCGACTGGAGGACTTACTGCACAAGTGGATGAAGGGATGCGCCGACATTAACGATGTGTTGGAGAGGGTTCTAGTAGAACAACTACTATCGACCATGCCAGAGGATCTACGTGTTTGGGTGGCAGAGAGGAAGCCGCAGGGGAACTCGCGGACAACTATCTTCAGGCCAGACAGCAAGCAACCAGGATGGGGGGGCGATGGGGAGAAGACAGGACCACGCAAGCAGTGCCACCGGTGTGGTAGTACGGGTCTGGAATTGTCCACAGAAGAGCATAACATAAGATGCTGACGGAAAGAAGGAGCAGAAAGAGCTGAATAGACAGGAGGTACATCCTGATGGATACAAGAAGAACTCTAAGATTATCTGTTTCAACTGCAAAAAGCATGGCCACTTCTCCTACAATTGTCCCGATAAAGCAGGATTTTGTGGTCTGAATGGCAGGGGGGAATCTATGACACGACACGGCTGCGTCCAGGGAGTGGAAGTGACAGACATCCTGCTAGACACTGGCTGTACCCAGACGATGGTCCGAGGAGATCTGGTTTCACAGGACCAGGTGATCCAAGGAGAAGCTGCAACAATTCGGTGTGTGCACGGAGACAATGTATTGTACCCGATGGCAGATGTCACCATCAATCTCGAAGGACTGAATCTGACAGTCAGGGCAGCAGTGTCCAAAACCTTGCCAATGTCGGTGTTACTAGGGACTGATGTGCCACAACTAGGAGCGTTGCTACACGGCAATCCCGCACGGATCCACTCACAGGGAGTAGAGTACGCACTGATCACTACCAGGGCTCAAGCCAGAAAGCAAGAGGAGGAAGAAGGGAAGTTGAAGAAGAGAGCTACTGCAATAACAAAGCCACTGGAGGGGGGCGAAGGGATGTGGAGGAGGGAGCTATCGGAAAAAAAGGGGAGTCTGAAGTGGATGAGAAAATGGCAGAGGACGGAGACAGTAGGGAAGATGGGGGAGCAATCAATGGGAGTGGAGGTGTGGCTGAGGGGGTGGAGTCAGACGGTTGTGGCTGGGATGTTGGGGGTTGGTTGAATGATGATATTTTCTTACAGCCAAAACAGAGACACCAACCGACAAGACGAGAGAAGAGAGCCACCAGGAAGAAATATGGCCTGGTACGAGCACTGGATACTGGCAAGAAGCAAGCTCCGATGGAAGGCCTCTCTGAGGAACTACAACATCTTCAAGACTCGGACAGTTCATTAGCTCATGTGGCGGATCTAGCTGGTTACTACCAAAGAGATGGGATCATGTACCAACGATGGGTACCGCGAGGAGAGGGTGAGGAAAATGGAACCTCTAGATGTCCTAAAAGAAGATTGGGAAACAAAGTCCAACAATGAGAGCGTAATCTCACACATTATGCTCATGCGGGAGAGGTTGGAAAGTATGTCCAACCTGGTACAAGCAAGCACAAGCTCAACAGAAACGGTGGTACGACCGTACATCAAGACAGCGTGTGCTACAGGAAGGGGAGAAAGTGCTTGTGCTCCTACCTACCTCAACCTCTAAGCTTCTAGCACAATGACAAGGACCATACACGATCGTGAAGAGGGTTGGGAAAGTGAACTACATGGTAGACATGGCGGACAGAAGAAAACGACGGGATGGTGGAACGTTTTAAAGGAACATTAAAGGAGATGCTGGGGAAATGTGCTTCAGAAGATGGAAAGGACTGGGACCGTCTTCTACCGTACATACTCTTTGCCTACCGGGAGGCCCCGCAAGAAACGACCGGATTCTCGCCTTTCGAGCTACTATACGGACGGGAGATTCGAGGACTTCTAGATGTCCTAAAAGAGGAATGGGAAACCAAGTCCAACAAGGAGAGCGTAATCTCACACATTATGCTCATGCGGGAGAGGTTGGAAAGTACGTCCAACCTGGTACAAAGGAACATGAAGCAAGCACAAGCTCAACAGAAACGGTGGTATGACTGTACAGCAAGACAACGTGTGCTACAGGAAGGGGAGAAAGTGCTGGTGCTCCTACCTACCTCAACCTCTAAGCTTCTAGCCCAGTGGCAAGGATCATACATGATAGTGAAGAGGGTTGGGAAAGGGAACTACATGGTAGACATGGTGGACAGAAGAAAACGACAACGTATCTTCCATGTCAACATGCTTTGCAAGTGGAACATGCCAACAACTCGAGTGGATGCCTACCCAATGCCATGTATAGATGATTTGATTGATCGGGTGGGGCAAACTCGTTTCATCAGTACCCTGGACCTGACTAAAGGGTATTGGCAAATCCTAGTGATGGAGCGGGACCAACCGAAGACGGCATTCACAACCCCATTTGGACTATACCAATTTAAAGGGATGCCATTTGGCCTGATGGGGGGCACCAGCGACATTCCAGCGAGTCATGGACCAAGTACTGAATGGTCTCCAGGACTTCACAAGTGCCTATCTAGATGACTTGATTGTCTTCAGTACGACATGGGAACACCACGTCCAACACGTCGACCTGGTGCTCAACAAATTGGAAGAAGCTGGGCTGACGGCAAAGCCAGTGAAATGTCAGTTTGGCATGAGACGTTGCAGCTACTTGGGGTATGTGGTTGGGGCTGGAGAGGTACGCATGGAACAGGGCAAAGTGGAAGCTGTCAGAGAGATGAAACCACCAAAGACAAAGAAGAATGTACGGACATTCCTAGGTCTTACCGGCTATTACAGGCGGTTCATTCCAAACTACGCTTCCATCGCCACAACGCTGTCCGACTTGACACGAAAGAAACAGCCAAACACAGTTCAGTGGACAGCCGATGCACAAGTAGCCTTCAGGCAGCTGAAATCTATCCTATGTGCGTCACCGGTTCTACAGACCCCTGACTTCACTAAACAGTTCATTGTCCAGACGGATGCTTCGGAGAGAGGAGTGGGGGCTGTGCTAAGCCAGGAATCAGAAGATAGAGGGGACAAACCAGTGGCCTACTTCAGTAGGAAGCTACTGCCGAGGGAAGAAAAATACTCAACCATCGAAAAGGAGTGTCTAGCCATCCGCCTTGCTATACATGCGTTCCGGGTCTACCTGATGGGGAGAGCATTCACAATACAGACAGATCATCGTTCTCTCGAATGGCTTGACAAGATGAAAGAAAACAACGCACGCCTCACCCGCTGGAGTTTGCTCCTACAGCCCTACTAATACACAGTGAAACACAGGCCAGGAGTAAAGAATGGCACTCTGTCAAGACTGACATACTGGCCTCGACATGAATGTCGCAGGAGAAGGGGGAAGGAATGTGGTGGATCGGGCTCCTTGTAAACACGTAACACGTAGCAGATGTGTGACCATTCTCATTGTGCTAATGGTGTCAGTCAGTCAATGTATCCCTGTACAATTAACTATTGTAGTCACTGTTATCGTGTATGGTCATGTAGTTCTTGTCTACTGGTCACGCACCCTAGGGCTGTATAAAAGCTCCATCTGTCATTCTGTAAGGGCCGGTCTTCATCATTATAAGTCTATGACCATACTCTTCGGCAACCTGCGACGCGCAAGCAACTTGGGCTCGGATCTCTGACACACACCCTTAACCACATTCGTTAATGATTGCAGTAGGAAGATGACTGTCTAGTAATAGTACAGCCAGTAGTATAATTATACGAATTGGCATTGTGTATGTGACTATGGTGGGCACATTACATCATCTATTGGTGTGTAGGTCCTATGAGCTGTGATAAGGTCTGGGAACCAAACTGGGGAAGCCTCAGTATGGGTTCATTATATATGCCGTCACTCATATTATGCTGTTTTCATAGATCTCCTAACTCACTATCCGAAGCAGTAATGATGTTGGAAATGGGATTAAAGAAAGAAGCTTGTGCATATGAAATACGACGCGAGTATGTTCTGTGTGATCTTTTGCGCACAGTGAAGAAGAAAAGTTATGATTCATTGAAGAAAGTCAAAGTCTGGTTTGCGGGAGAAGAAGGGCGAGATACTGGAGGATTGACCAGAGAAATGTGGCGTCTCTTTAGCATTGAAATGCAGCATATCTGTGAGGGAAAGAAAGGGTTCCTAGTTATCAAGCATGACACTGCAAAATTGCAGGTGTATAGCTAGCTACTGTGAATTGTGGACAGTTGTGATGGCCCGAGGGCCCGAGAATTTTACTTTGCAACTGTGCCAATTGTTTGTTTTGCAGGAGGGGGGTGTTTTTTCAGATAGGGATGTTGATGGGGGGGGGTATCACTAGTTCAGGGTGGCTTTGGTTTCCCATTTTTTGCCCCGTCCCAATACCTGCTCTGGAGATGTGCGTTCCATGGTCGTTGGGCACAGTGAGGTGCCTCACAAGTACATTGATGATGTCATAGTTAATTCTTATCCATTATGCTCTTGGTCTGTGTAGATAACAGCAGCAGGTGATGATGATCATCAGTTACAAAGCACACTGATGGAAAATTGTGATGTTATTCAGTCGTGTGGGTTCACAAAACCAATATTTCCCCTCAAACATACTGATGTACCTCAGTTGATTCAGTGTTTAGTTATTCACACATGCATTTATGAGCGCAAGGCAGAACTGATACTGGGACTGAAAGAGGCAGGTGTTCTTGAAATGATCTGTCAACACCTCAACCTTTTTTTTCCTGAAACGTTCATAAATTATGTGTAGGTTGGTAATAGTGCTGGTTAGTTTGTCTCTATTATTATAATGCTGATGTATATCATGATATCTTTGAGAAAAAGGGTTTTCTCAGGAGCTGGGACAAATGACCTCCAGAGAGAACAGGAAACATACATGATGTTTAAGGATCTTTTGCAAGAATTGGAAGGTACATAGATATTACTGTTTTACCTTTCTTATTAGCTATTGTATTTAAATAGGTGGTGTTTCAACATCTGGGAGAATGGGATCAGCAGGTCAAGGTCAGTCAGTACCTATTGTGAGTATGGATAGGTTTCTTACACCTCATACTATAATAAATGATATCTCTCTGAGCTTGGAGGACTGCCTATCATTTTTCAGTGGTGCTAACTCCATTCCTGCCGCTGGATTTCATGACATCTGCACCTTGAACTTCAGTCCGACTAATGTGTACCCAACTGCCTCAACTTGTGCATTAGTGGTTACCCTCCCATCGATGCATCATGGGAAATATTCTGTGTTTCGTGAAAAGATGCTCTACGCATTTGTCAACCATGGAGGCTTTGGACTCTGCTAGTTATTTACTTATGTTGAAGTTCGTCATCGTTATAATTATCACATAATAATTATGTATTCAAAAACATTATTCAACCCTCATTTATACAAAGTGAACCCAGTCCATGTACAGTGTAAGTCCATAATCATCAGCTGAGTAGTCAGTTACAGCTGGTAGACTCATTTGAAGCTCAGAGTATTGCTCCTCTGTCAAGGGATTCAATGGTGCACTGACTTGCACTCTCTCTATATCGCCACTCTCATGTTCAGTTGGGAGGGGGGAATCCCAGTCAATACCAGATCAGTTAAGTCCTGCAAAACAGGTTTTAAACACACATGCTATAGTATAATGATAATTTTGTTGTATCAGGGAGCAGGGAATGCTTCCATGGTATTGCACCATCCCAGAAATCCATTGCTGCTGTGGGGAACGGCCATTTTCGGATTGCATTGGGTGCTGTGCTGATTCCAAGCTTCTCTAAATGCATCGATGCTTGCATTGATGCGAGGAAGAAAAACGTAATGCAAACAAAAGAGGTGAATGCAGTTATCGGGATAACACCCTCGCTCTCCATGTAGTTAAAGAGATTATAATACAAGACAGTGCAACCCTGAAAAAGATCTCTCCATAATCTCTCTATTCGGGAATTGTGGACACTCCGACCAGTAATAAAACTGGACCTCGGTCGGGATGGGATAACATGTATTCTGCAACACACAACACATTTTCCCCTCCACGGTCTGATCTAACCCGTATAGGAAGGCCATACACCATAACTGCATCACGAAAGCAGCGAAAAACTGTTTCAGCAGAATTGTTGGCAGAACATTTCAGATATGTTATTTCACGGCTGTATCCATCAATGCAACCGTGTATAACAAATTTCCACCTGTTGTAGATTACATTCAGTGACAACACAAGGTCATACTTGATCAATCTGTGATTTCCTTCTATGTGCCACTAGTGGCCCATTCACTCTATACACCCGGCGATTAATTGAGGACAATTGACGCATGGCACAACACCTGGGTCAACTCGTCTTTGACGTTCCCGCACTCTCTTTTGCTGAATTCTTAGTCCCTGGGCAGCCAGATGGCCCTGCATCTGCCAATATCCACATAATGGAAACTGATGCTGAATACCAGCAACTATGGCATCAAGTTCCTGTTGTGATATGCTGGTATAGGTAGCCCTTACGGATAGACCATACATTGTCATTTGTCAACGGACTGTCCGCACAGACACCCGCAACACATCCGCTATTTGAGGTACAGAGAATCTACTTTCTATCAAGAACTCCAAAACTGAAATCGGAACATCATATCGGGGCCTACCAACAGAACCATCATACACCAGCGACGAAGAATAACAAGTAGAAACTAGTCGGGAAGGGTGGGATTCCAAAATGTCCCGAATCTCCTCGATTGCAGAGGCGGTGAGGTGAATTGCTGTGGTTCCACTGGAGTTTAGCTCTCCCACAGTATCCAGGGCAACTAACTCACGGTAAACGATCTGCAACTGGTTAAGTGCAGCATCTAATGAACCCACAGTGATAAGTCTCCCGTCTTCATACGCAGAGAGGTCGGCAACAACTCGTCGCAAGGAGCGGCTACACCATTCTTGGGTCATGCCTGATGGTTGTGACCTTTGGCATACCCGGTTACGTTCCGTGTGCGAGCGGTTGTACGGAACGGGAGTCAAGGAATGGTACTAAAAAACGTGCGCATTCGTTAGAGGGGGCTGAATTTCACCCTTATCTTCGCTGCAAGGTTTAGGTTCACCCGTGCAATTATTTAAGGGTAAAGTTCACCCTTGCAATTTTTGAAGGGCCCATGCAATTTTTGAAAGGTGATGTTTACCCATGTAAACTTTGATGGGTGAAGTTCACCCTCTTATTTTTTGAAGGGTGAAGTTTACCCTTGTAAACTTTGATGGGTGAAGTTCACCCTCTTATTTTTTGAAGGGTGAAGTTTCTGAAAGGAGAAATTGACCATCCAAAAACTTGAAGGGTGAATTTCACGGCTAAAAAAGGCTGGTATCAGCAATAAAATTGCGTTTGAATTTTGCCACTAATCACCCTCCATAAGGGATGACCTAGTCAATGTGATGCAGTAGTACAATGGATGATGGCAACATCCTTGCAACTGGCATCGCTCACTCCTGTATAGTTTCCTCCACACAAACCATATATTGTTGCCACCTTTACTCACTGACATAGCATGAGTTTGCTTAGTAAATGGTGTAAAGTGCGAGGAAAATGGTGAAGCAATGCTGTAGAGGGCTAAGAACGCAGCATTGTATAACTGGTTAGTTTAGCAAATGTGGAAGTCTTAGATTTCACACAATGCACTCACAACTCATTCGGTCTGACGAAATGAATCATAGCTCCGCATCATACAAGGGAGGGCACTCATACTTTGCGATAATAACAGGGGGGCTTGCGTGGAAGAACTTTACAAGAGCGAGCGATGTCAGTTCGAAGTATGTAGCCATCATCCATTGTACTACTGCATCACATTCACAAGGTCATCCCTGTGTTCTCTTCGCTTTTTCTACCATCCCTATATTCCTTTTTTTACTTGACGAAATTACAAGTTTCTAAACAACAGCAAACAGCCTCAGGCAATAAAAACTTGTAAATTGCGTTTGTTTATTTGTGGTTGGTCCTCTAACAATGAATCAGATTGTACCATGACAAGAGTTCATGAGAAAAGAACAACAAACAGCTTCAGGCAATAAAGACTTCAAGACTTTCAACGGTGTTTGTGCCTATAACTTGCTTTTGGTAGGTTCTTATCATGAAACTTGGTACACTGATGTACCACAAATAAAAAGTTTGTAAACAATAACAAACAACTTTAGGCAATATAAACTTGTAAATGGTGTTGTGCCTATAACTTGCTTGTGGTAGGTCCTCTAACAATGAAACTTGGTAAACTAATGTACTTTGGTGAAAAGCACATGTGAATGATGACAGATAGTCTGAGGCAATAAACACATGCAAGTGAATGCAGTAAAAAAGAAAGGAGACATGAATAGAAATTAAAAAGGTGTGGAATATAAAAAGCAAGGAGAGGACTTAGTGCATGTGATGCAGCAGTAGAATGGATGATAGTTTGCTACATCTTCAACTGACATTTCTTGTTCCTGTAAATTGTCCTCCACACAATCCCTATATTGTCACAAACATCACCGATCGCATGATATGCAGCTGTGACTCGTTTCGCTAATACCCTCTCTGACAGGTCCTCAGTTTGTGCATTTTGTAGTCCATGACTTCCAACTGAAATGCTGAGTTCTTGGCCCTCTACACAATCTTGTCCTCCCACTGTACATCATTCACTAAAGACACTCGTGTTTGCTTTAAGTGGCAACAATATAGGGACCGTGTGGAGGACAAATCTACACCTGCAAGCAATGACATCCCTAAATTCCACACTCTTTAGTTGCAAGAATATTTTATTCCCTTGTAAGACAGTATCAATAAAACTAGAATAGAGGGATTGCCAAGGAGAAAATACAGAGATAACTGGGGTGTGTACGTAGTGGTACTTGGGTGAGGGCTAGATAGTATCGCACAGGCACAACTTTCTGATGCAGAATTTCCACAACACAAGTTCAATATGGTCGCAGAGCCACGCATGTACCAAGTGCACTCTCTGCTGAAATGTGATATTATGACTGCAGCTCTGTAAACAGCCTCAGAAAATATGGTGTTTCTGCCCATAACTCGCTTATGTTAGGTCCTTTAACACTACGTATGGGCGCCGCGCGCGCCATTTGTACTCGCTCCGCAACGCCACGTGCCACTTTAGTGGCGCGGAATTATGTATTACGTGGATGGCGTGGCAATATTCCGCACATGCGTAATTCCGCGTACGCGGAGAAATTTCCGCAATACTACGCGGCGCGCAGTGTTAACAATGAAACTTGGTATATCCATGTACACGAGTTGTTTGTAAACAACAGCTAGTTGTTTGTAAACAACAGCTAATAACCTCAGGCAAAAAAATCATAAGGGGTGTTTGTTGCCATAATGCCACATGCACACTAACATGCACACACACACATGTTAAGTACCCTACCTGTGCATGGATCTCAAGGGTTAATCCTCATAGTATAATCCTACACAATTGAGTCGGAATAAAAAAAAAACACATTACCTTGATTGTTGAATGGGAAAAGAAGCAGAGTTCCTTAAGAAATCACGATGTTGATCACAAGAACTTGGTATCAGATGTTTCATAAGAGTCTTGTTTCCATTACTAGCAGCATAGATAAAAGCCTGCATTAAATAATGCAAGAGTGATGAAACAGAGACCTATACACTACTCTGTCACAAAATCTGTTTTTCACAATTTTTTGGGGGCTGATTCAGTTCGCGTCACAGGCTCCAGCAATGAATCGTGAACTAGCTGACTCAACAAATGTGATGCAATGGTGGTGGCAACTATAACGATTAGTCATTCAGCAAAATCACATCCTACTGATTACTCTGTTTTTCTAAGTATGCTGATTTATTCTAACACACAAATATTTGACCCTAGACCCCTAAAGAAGGACAAAAAAGGCCTGAGATATCTGAGTTTGACCACTATTGTCGCCAAGTTATACTCCAAAAATAGCCAACACGCTTGGCAGTTTAGCTCATTATGCTGTTGAACCTCTACTCTACCTACATATTATGAGCTGGCATACTTGGTGCAGACCTAATCGGCATCCACAGCATAGCATCTAGGTATTTTGCCGCAGCAAATGCCCCAGCTCTTCGTGCTCTAAAAGTACTGCAGAAGGATGCAAGCACAGCATTAGAGAAAATTATTTAACGTGGCAAATGTTTATAGCACTCGAGGTATGTACAGAAGATTAGAGTTCTGTTGGAACGCAGTATTGCGTAGCGTGAGACTGTTCAGGGCATCCGTGCGTGGATACATGTGCCAGCATTTTCTGCACCAGGGTCGAGAGCAAAGTTCTCTCGCCAGTTGGCTATGGAGTCGTGGTAGTCTTACTATGCCTACTGTGACCCGACTGGGGCTTACTGAAACAGGGGTTTCTTATTCACACAATCCCTTTGGTTTCTGGGGCACCAACAGCGGAAATGCATGAACGTGATGCCGATAGTCATGATCTACCAGAGGATTGTGAAATACACGTTTACCCTAGCATTTCAGAGTTCTCCAAGGTAAATATATGTACTGCAATACGAGCATTGTGAGTGACTACAGCAAGAGTGGTATCATTTGTTGCCCAATAGGAAAGAACTGCTAGCGGCAGCTGGATGTATTCTGTAAAAATCGTGAGAACATTCAGCCGTACACAGTTCGGAATTAGAGGGATGCTAATTACAGAATGTTTGAGAAATGTGATGATGTTAAAGTTGGTCAATGTGGTTTGATAGTGAATCTGAGTTGGCAGTTGGATTTATTGAGCGTAAGCATGGTCACCACAGGATGATGGTGACTTTGTGGCACTATTGTTAGGTCACGATCGAAATCTAAGGTTGCCCACTCACTGATCAATAAAAGGATGAAGTAGATGCAATTCTTGAGAGAAATATCAAGATAGGCACACGTCAGCGCTAATTAATAATATATGGGCTCATAGTAGCCACATGAAGACGCATGTTTCCTATGATGAACCCCTGGACAAACCTTTCTTCTGGAGTAAATCATCCACACAACCATCAGCAGCCACCAGCATTTCAGTTTCACCTGGCAAAAAGACCAGCCTTCATTCTCAGTGTATGAAGCAAATTATATAAATGACATCAACTTTACGAGACAGGTGTCATATCTGAACAAGGAAATGGTGGACAAGGTGTGGGATGATATATTTAAAATTCTAGCATGTGCATGGTCTATTGTTACATGTGTTCTGTAGGCTAGAAGGACTAAACATATCCAGAATATGATATCCACCCATTACATGTTATGTTGCATAAAGCTACATAAATGATAGGAATAGAGTCAACTGAACTGAGTTGTAGGATGTCATCATGAACCCTGTGTCTGAGTTGTCGTTTCAATGTTGTGTGCATTAATTAAGAGCAAGCTAATGAAATTTTGTGAGAAACAGTTCTCCTTGCTCTCCCACGAGTAGTGCCAATAATCTAGTTTGATTGAGAAAGGATTTTATGGTCGTTCACCCACTGACGACTGGACTCTCGAAACCTCCTTGACGAATCAGAGCTCACGTGCTTGCCGCCATCAACATGAGCAACACAGCTACTGTACGATGGAGAAGAGGAGTCGTCTGGGCCAGCATCACTCAACTCACGAACATCTCAAAGGATGTTGGTAGACCCACAACACTGGAACTCGCACATGGCATGACACGCAAATTGGACTCGCTTGAATTGCGAACGAATCATCACGTCCACATTGATATGATTGATGACGACAGAAAAAGCACGGATGAACACAATGACTCCTTCGCAATACCAGCTAATCATGCTGTTAGATCTGCCGCCTTGTAAGATTGCCTCTCATAGATTGTCCCACGTAAGGAAGATGCTCTCATCCATTGTCGAAGATGTCATGACTGTTGGGATGAAAAGCATTGAAGTGCAAACCCTCGACGCACTGTGACGCGCACGCGTAAGCAAACGCATGCGCCGTAACACTAATTGATGGGCTGGGTTTAGTTTTAGCTCTTACTCGTGGCCTCTTGCGAGCTCGCGCAGTCTGACGCGGGCTAACTACACAACTAGATAACATGCGAGAGGCGATACACGCCCTGCGTTTCATCTTCTGGTGCCTCCGAGGTACGCAGAGCACGTGGATCGATCATGCCGTAGTAAGCCGTTGTGTATTTGCATATTGGCTTTTTCGCGCTCTAGCTTTGCAACGGAGCGTTTTCAGAGAAAACCGTTCGAAATTTCTGACCTTCATTGCCCGTTCAGTAGGTGGTATCCTTTGTGAGACGAACGAACACTCGAGAAGTGAGATGACGAGTAACAGACAGACACACAGACAGACCCAACTACCGTAACCCTCGCTGCGCATGCGCGCCGAGGGTTAATTACACCTGCCTTATACATCAGTATGAAGAACTGACACCAAGAGAGTGCTTGCCAATAGACGAAACACTCCTCTGCTATTAGATCTAGGGGACACTGATGAACTATCCACTACACAATTGTTGTCACAGCTACTGTTCATTACTGATCAAGAAGTTAGTACACCACTCTGCTGACACTCCTTCTCCAGCCTCGAACGGAAAGGGAGAATGTTGCCAAAGGTTGACGTGCCCACCTTTGATGGTAACATACTCCACTGGAGATTGTTTTGGGAACAGCTCTGCATTCCTGTGCATGACCGCTGTATGTATGTGCATGTATAGCTAATTAATAACTCGATTGTTATGGCAAATCTCCTTCATTATACAGGTGAAAACTATAGCCTAGCTCCACGTTGGAACGAAGTTTCTAGTGCCCGTGGAGTCCTGTTGCAGTTGTGTTGACTCTGAGTCCATTGCATAATGCAAAATTCCGGTGCACAAAAAACGCACACAGAAGGGCGTGCACACTTTTGCGTACATAGTGGTAGAACGAAGCAGCTATGATAATGCATTTTTCGTCGTTGTATGAAGCATACATAACAATAATTATGCCTTTGCACGGATTTCCCAGAGTGGGTCACATCAAGCAACATCCTATTTTAATAAAACTTACAGTCCATCCACGTATATCTTTAATATCTGCATCAGCATTGTGAGCCAAAAGTAGCTGGGCCAGTAATACTCTATTGTGCTGACAGGCATACATGAGTGGGGTCATTTGATGCCTGTGATACAAGAGGAAACACAACACTACACATAGTAGAATACCCCAAAAAATGCCATACACGTTTTGACACTTATACAAGTGCAATCCTCAGGGAGTTAGAGAGAGAGTGACTACAACAACTGACACATAGAGATATGGAATGCATGATGATCATTGTTCTATCAGAGCCTGGTACACTGGTGGAAGAGGGCCACACTCTCAATTGAGAGGAGCAGGTTGTTTGTACACATACAAAGACTTTAGCCTCTGACTCAATTTTTGGCAGGACTCTAAAACTTTGGAATGATACCAGTCAATATTATGGCCAATCGTTTCTTACTGAGACGGATGACACCTTGCAGGACGAACAAACCTCCCACAAGATGTCATCCGTCTCCAAACGCCGGGGGACAACTTCAAGTCCTAGATCTTTGGGAATGTTAGTGAATAACCAAACGACCTCAAACGACACCAACCTTTTATCGTCCTGAATAATTATGCTGCTCAGCAATAAACTGGGCAAAATGCTGGAATTTGGGAGAGCAGAGTTGGAATTACCGATAAATGGCGACAGAAGATGACTCAGATGTTTTTACAACTGATAATTTGGCGATCGAACGCAATGGAACACCTGCTTTGTGTATTTAGGTAGCCTGTATAGGAGTGGAGTTTCTCCATTCAAGCTCAGCAGACAGTACTAGATGGATCTGGTGGCTCTCGCTTCCTCTTAAGATCAAGTAAGGAGGAGTTCATCTTACGCTCCAACACAGGAGACGGGTCTTTCTTCGGTATTCGGTATACCTTGGTGTCAATCTTGCAAATATCTTGCAACTTCTTATCATACTCGTCTCTATCAACCAGAACTGTTGACCGTCCCTTATCCCCTGTCTTTTTCTCAATTTCTCAATCAAGGCTCTTGTCTTGAGTAAGAGTGAAAGATGAATTATAGGGCCTTGACAACAAACTAGAAATCTTGACCCTGGCCGTTGATTTTTTGTTGGGGACAGTAATACATCAGCCCTAGCTGAACATGCCATAAACACTGGCCATACTATTGACTGGAATATGCCACAGACTCCTGCCAACAATTGAGTCAGAGGCTGGTCCTGGAGTCATGGTACGTCTACAAACAACCTGCTCCTCTCAATCGAGTGTGTCGCCCTTTTCCACCAGTATATCATGCACTGGAACAATATCATCATGCATTGGGTCAGTTGTTGTAGTCATTCTTTGAGGATGGCACTTAAGTGTCGAAACTATTCCTTTTTGGCTAGAGATCAAGGATGTCAGGAACTGTTACTAGTGTTCTTAGCCACACAGGCCTCTATAGTTAAAGAAAGCAGGTGTTGTGCAAACCGTACTACAATAGGACATATCTCACATACATACATGCTCTGTTACTTAATTGAATGAAAAGCACTGAAGTGCAAACTCTCGGCGCATTGTGACGCGCACGCGTAAGTAAACACATGCGCCGTAACACTAATTGATGGGCTGGGCTTAGTTTTAGCTGTTACTCGTGGTCTCTTGCCAGCTCGCGCAGAGTCTGACGCAGGCTAACTACACTACTAGATAGCATGCGAGAGGCGATACACGCCCTGCGTTGCATCTTCTGGTGCCTACAGAGGTACACAGAGCACGTGGATCGATCAGACACATTGGCTTTTTCGCGCTCTAGTTTTGCAACGGAGCGGTTTCAGAAAACCGTTCAAACGTTCTGACCTTTATTGCCCGTTAAGTAGGTCATATCCTTTGTGAGACTGGAGAAAATGGAATGCAAGGAAAGCTGGTTTCTGCTTTACCTTTGCTATTCTGGGTATGGTGCTACGCTCTCAAAGGCTTGAACTAGCATGCAAGGATGCTCTGTCCATTTACGATATGCTTTATTCTGTTAATTATGAATGTCCCCTAAAAGTGTCACGAACTCTCAGACCTCATTGATGATCTGAAAGAGGTACTTGAGTTACCCGAAGGTGGTAACCTACCTGTGCGGGCACATGGTGGATAGCATAAAGCTTTACAGAGAGTTGTCGACTGTTATGGGGCTTACCTTAACCTCCTGACAGCTTTGACCAATGACACCTCAATCAAAAGTGCCGATTGGAAACATTTGGTGGGATACTTGTTAGAGGGAAGCTAGAATGCTCATTGGTGCAGCCCTGTACGTAGATGTGCTTAAGCCTGCCTCACTTCTTAGGCTCACAATGCAGGATAATGCATAGGATTCTTAGGCATAATGCATAGGATCCTCAAGCTCACAATGCAGGATAAGGACTTTATCTTGCATCAGGCATATCCATAGCTCCCTTGAGAAGTCTTCGCAGACTCCACTTGATTGGCAAGAAACAAATATTGTTTTAAGCAGACTAAAAGATGAACATGGTGAAGGTTTACAAAAGAACAGCCCTTCATTCTTCCATTGATGCAATCCTTGACTTTTGCAAAGGTCAAGGCCCTTTGATGAAAAAATGCGGTGGCCTAGAGTGGTCAGGTGTGGAGTTTCTGAGGTCAATCCTCCTATTTCTGTACACACAGAGCTGGAAGGAATGAGAAGCTGCTTCAAATCATAACTGTATGGATGAAATTAAGTCCGGTTTCCTTGGTCTTAATGAAGCCCTTTGAGCTCCTCTGGAAGCAAAAGAAATTGACCTCTCCTCAATTGAAGACATCATTGAGTATTCCAGGAGCTACCTAAGGAAAACGAGCGACGACTACAAGAAAATTTGGTATCAGTTGTCAACATCACCATTTGCTGTGAAGTGGCAAAAGGTCTATGAGCTACTCCAGTTTCATCACTAAAAGCCGAACGTTCATTTTCTACTTTGAAGGTCATCAAGACCAAGAGACGAAAGAATCTCAGTGTTTCAACACTCGATGACTTACTGGAAGTAAATGTAGAGGTTACCACCCTAAGTAACTTTTCCCCAGACTCTGCCCCCAACCTGTGGTGGACCGACTGCTTTTCTGGGCGCAAGGTAATCAGAAACCTTGAAAAAGTATATATAGAAAGCAAAAGCAAACTTCCACATTTGGTTCTGAGGAGGAATCCGAATCTGAATTTACACTGCAGCAACCGGGATAGTTGGCGTAAGGACAATGAAGGCATACCTACATTTTTGTTGTCGTTGGTTATTGTGTATGGTTTTGGCCATGTAACAATACTTTTCTGTTTATGTGTAATGATTCCGTATAATATTGGTAGCTACAATTTAACACCATGTTAGGTCAGGTCCACTGATGCCCAACAGAATTCCGTCATGGTCGGACAAATGTCAATGAAACAAAAAAATTTTTCATCCCTGAATGAAGATGCAGATGTGATTACATTTCATTAACCCCAGCGTGCATGCGCCGCAAGGGTCACAGTACTTGGTTTGTCTGTCCGTTTAGGCTACGAGGTATTAGCAATACCAGCAGCTTCAGGACTACGAAAGCATGACAAAGAGACAATTTTCCTGAAACGGCTGCATTCCAGAAACATGGCGTGAAAACAAGTGACCGGATGCGGCCATGCCTTCTCACCAAAACGTAAAGCTCAGTCTGGTAATATGTCGCAAGCAATATGTTCCATCGTGACTAGTGTAAGAAAGCAGTACTAGCACTGAAAGAAGGCAAACCAGCTGAGCATTATCATGTGTTCCTAAGTGGCCCAGGTTGTCAGCAAGTCAAATGTGACAAAACTAGTCCATTCTCATAAATTGCTGAAACTATCAGGAACCTTTGAACCTGATGATGTGATTGCATTACTACTGGTGTTGTCGCATTCAATATCAATGGGTATGACATTACATTCAGCATTCTTACTGGGACGCAGCAAATACAGTGGTTTTCAGCCCCTTAGCCATGACAGACTGAACACACTACAAACGAAACTGTTACGTTCGATGTTTTTCATTGGAAGTAAGCATGGGTAGTTCCAATAATGTTGCTAGAAATCCACAAAAGACTGCAGCAGGTAAAAGGTGTATCGGATGATAAGGTGTTTGGTGGTGTGAGTATATTAGCTGTGGAAGACCTGTATCAGTTACCACCAGTTGGCCAAGCTCCGCTGCTTAGCACTGTGAGTGACTGTTATGCCCAGGCTGATTGTGGGTTGACCAATTCCTAATGCTTGAACTAACTGAGGTAATGAGGCAAAGAGGTGACTCTGCATTCTCAGAGATATTGTGCAGAGTGAGAACCAACAGATGATATTAGAACTCTAAAATCTTATGAAATAGCAGCAGATGCAGCAAATTATCCGACTTCACATGTGTACAGATTAAATGCTGATGTAGACACGCGAAACACCCTCACCTTGGCTCAACAGAGTGCACAGTTTGCGATAAATCCATTTATCCTGTAGCTGGTAAAACCATTCATCCTCCCTCTCTTCTCTGTCTGACAAAAGATCTGAAACAGGTTGTCTTTACGGTATATACACTCAAACTAGCTATCGGTGCTCGTGTGATGCTAACAGCAAATGTAGATGTATCAGATGGTCTTGTGAATGGTGCTGTCCACGTTGTTACCAACAATAACAATGAGGTCACTAGTGTCCTTGTTAAGTTTGATAATAGCAGAGTTGGCGTTAAAACCAGTCAACATCGTGCTCGATTTCCTCATGCTGTGCCTTTCACTAAATATGAGGTAGTTGTTTTTGCCAAGGGAAAGCAAGGATCTGAAATCAAGCATTTGTAGTTCCCACTCACACTAGCATGGGTTACCACAATACACAAAGTACACGGTCTGACACTTGAAATCAAATAGTTGTTGATATGAAAGGTGGCAGATTCAGTCCTGGCCATAGCATTGTTGAATGCGAGATCTGTACGTGCAAAAGTGCCAGATAATAGAGCTGACAACAGGCTTAGATACAATAGCATACGTGGTTTTGTGAGACTTGGTTGAATGCATCTCAGCCGTCCCCTGTGTTACTGGATGCCGAGATTGAGATCATATGTGACAGAGTTACATGTGAAAACAAAGGTGAAAGGTTATGAAGTCAACCAATAGCAAGCCAATGAAACCACAAAAGAACCAGTTCCTATGTCTGCTCTGTGACTACAAATTAATGATGAAGACACAGGTCTGAGGTGTATACACAAATGATGACCCTCAACTTTGAGGTAGTGACTGGCTCTGTGGGTCATACTGAGGCCTGAATAAATAAGATGTCAACCAACTAGCTTTTCACTCGTGTACCTTTCCCATCACAGAAAAGAGATACATCGTTCATCTTCCCTGGATCATTTCCACTGTGGAGCCCTTCCATCCACTCATCCCCAATTACAAACCTGCTCCGCTTTGATGACATCATTCGTGATTTGTCCCCACAGATTGTCCACTATTCATTATTGAAG